GTGGAACACATTGGGGTCTAGCTGTCTATGACACATCATCATCTTCTATTGTGGTTTACGATTCTTACGCGCATACGTACGAATACTCCTCTGCTGCGCTGGAGGAGAATGAGCCAAAGCTTCGAGAAATGTGGTATAAGATCACCGATTCGCCTCTGCAGCAGGTGCACGTTGCTGGAAGTGATTTGGTTCATAAACAGGACGACGGCTTCAACTGCGGCGTTTTTGCCTGCATCTATTCTGAACGGCTAAGCATAGGGCTCAGCACCAAGACGGAGGAGCCTACACGACACTTTCTTCAATCGACAAGAGCACGGATCTATCGTTGTCTTACGGCATCTTTCGTTGTATCTTTGACCATCGCTGACGGAGTAGTCCGGCTTCCACGACTTTTCGAAACCACGCAATACAGGCTGGTATTTACGGAAGGGGCAGCCGAGGAATCCAATAGTGTACACATGGACGCAACAGAAGAACAAAGTTCTTCTTTCATCACTCCAAAAGAGCATTGTCATGACTCGCAACAGGCGAAATTCACAGTGGACGAAGTCATGCTTCTGCAGCGCATGACGTTCTGTGAAGCAAAGGAAGTCTACTTTGTTAAGACCTGCCCAGAAGAGGATTTGCCGCCAACATCAGATAATCAAGCAAATACCCGAGGATGCAATCTGTCTGCGCTTGTTGTTTTCTACACTAACTGTAATGGCTGTTTCTCTGCTGCTGTATTCCGTCGATCACCGGCGAGGGTGCGAGCGACTGTTTTCGACTTCGAATCCCTATCAATTGAAGCGCCCATTCGAAGACATCTCCTGAGGGTGGGCGAATGGTTCGGATTTCGGAAAGCTGGGATACGACTCAGTCTAAGCGACGTCTGCGCAGACTACGGCAGCGATGCTGCTGTCGTACTCAGCCTTTGCATAGTAAATCATCTCAAAGGTGTTGAGCTTCGTGCCCCGCTCACCTCTACAAGTATAATCGAACATCGCAAGTGCCTGTACTCTGCCTCAACTTTCATGCCAGCGCGTTACCTACCAGTTGATGACAGCGCCGCAGCTCGAATGTATCTCAACTATCACATTTCGAAAAAACGCGACACAGTTCTCGTCGACTTATTTTTGAAGAATGAAGATGTAGCTGAGGAAAACATTAGGAGGCAGAAGAGGAAGTTACAAACTCTCGTGATTCTATACGCTGGTAATCGAGGAGATTTATGCGGCGCCGTTGTGAGGAAACGCTGTAAAACTAGTGTTTGCCTTATTTTCGACTTCTGTACTACTGAAGCAAAGACATCTTTGTTGAATGATGTGATAATATCGCACGGACATGGAAAATGCCAATTTGTCTATCCATTCAATGACACGCAGTTACTTAGAACTGAAAATCCTGCAGCTGTTAGCTATTCTATTTTGAGCACTCTCGATAATCACTCTGAAGCGACGACACTCTGTATGCAATCAATCCGTTCGCATGCAACTGAAATTTATACACATCTGTGCGCCATGTTCAGTGGAACTGGTACTGCCGCTGCTGTTCCTGCAACTACCACAACAAATGCAGCTGATGCGAAGCCCTCCACGTTCATTGGGACACCGAATGTACTACACTTAGGCCCAATGAATGTCTTGTGTTCCCACTGCTCTGCTGTATCCTTTCGCGGAGAAGTCAAGTCTCTGTGTTGTAACGGCGGTACTAATATTGTTCCTGAGCA